TTTTTTTTTTTATTTCGAATATATAATAACATTTATATTTTGTAATAATAAATAATGAAATAATTTCTCCACACTGTGTTCGAGCTTGGAAAATTTGATCATAAATATATTGTCATGACTCATTGTACGTAACTTATCATTAATAAATGTTGCATCGCGTGAATAAACAATGTTGTATTGCTTAAATAATTCACTATTGCTGAATTTCGTGGGTGACGAATGATCGAGTTTGATATTCTCGTTCTTTCCATCTTTCCTCGATCGCTATTTTCGTTTGTCTAAATAAAGCTAGCTAGTTGTGTTGCGTCGTAGAAGAAGACAACGATACGAAATTGCACTATTTTATGTGTAGTAGTAGTAGTAGTATTATGATCCAAATATTTCGAAAATATTCACTCAATTTTCTATTTCCTAAATTTGTTCTCTTCTACGTCGTCCAATTAAAATCTTCTTATTATTATTATTAATTAATAATAATCTCTATACTAATGATGCCGTATTTTCGTGTAGTACATAAATAATCACGACGATTTACGAAAGATAAATTAAGCGAATCACAACGAAAGAGGGCACCTGATTAATGTTCTCTCCTTGATGATCATCGTATTTAGGTCAACGCCGGAATTTCAGGTTTCCCGCGATTGAAAGCAACATCATCAACGAAGTCAGAAAAAAAATTCTTCAAATCGAGATTCAAGTAGCTTTAATAAATTTATCACTTTCCCATAAGTGGTTAAGAACACAATACGATCGTGCGTTTGTTTGTTATAAAACAAATTTAACTTTATCTAATCAAAATTTATAATATCACATCCAAATTAATTTCAACTTGAATTCAAATATTTGATTCTTTAACATTATCAACGTTACCGTCGATAAGGCAGATCCCTAATGTTACGATCAACTTCGTTGATCATACAAACTTTCTTGATTTCTACTTTAACTACCGTAAGATAATTATCGTTCGATGATAATTTTATCTACGTTTAACAAAATGAACACCTGTTGAGATTTAACAAGAACACGTTGACGAAGCTAATATTTTTTTCTTATAATTCGTACAAAATGATGAACATTATAGAAATATACATGTATATGAGATACTTACTTCGTCACAAGCCGAACACCGAGGTTTTAGTTGCTCAGCATAATGTCTTTCGCAGAATATCATATCTTCGTGTACGCAATAGGCAAGATCCACCAAGAGTTCTTTGCAATCATTACATCGAAAGCATGCTGGATGATGAAGTACTCCTAATTTACTCGCCAATACAGCGAGACTACCATACTTTAAGGGTTCTAGGCAAGCTCCACAACACTGCAATAAAACAACGATTACTTGACCATCTGCAATGTTTCAATAACTAAAAACAGTTCTCAAGTGCATTTCAAATCAAATATGAAACGAAATATCATACTTTATGATGTGATTTGTGTGTGTGTGTTTTTTTTTATTATCATTAACTATATGTACTAACCAAATCTTCTTCAACAATTTCTTGAACAGTACCAATATCCAAAGCTATCTCATTTCTCGCAGCCATAAAATCATCTGCGCTGGAAGCATGTTTTAAATCGAGATAACGACA